TTCAACCTCATCTTTAATACCATTCCGAGATAAAAAATCTGCAATATGCATGTTTTTTCCTGGCAAATATTTTAGTTTAAAACTGTATATCATCAATTTAAGTCTGAGTCTTCTTATTCTGTTATTGACAATTTTAAACAATGGCTTATTAAAAATTGACAACAGAGGTAAATGGTCAGTAAAAATTGATACATTTTCATTTCCATATATATAGTTGTGGTATTTCTTGCACGAAAAACAAATAGCTAATAATTCTTTTTCAATTTGAGCATAATTAACTTCTGCTGTGGTCAGACTTCTAGAAAAGTAACTAACAGGCCTGCCATTTTGCATGCAACAACACCCTACAGAATCCTGTGAAGCATCACATTGTATTTCAATAGGAAGAGATGGATCAAAATTCCCTAAGACCTGATTACTACAGAGTGATTGTTTGATTTTTTCAAGAGCATTAGAATGATGTTCATACCATTGCCAGGGAACTTTCTTTTTTAGTAAATCTCTAAGAGGTGATGCTATTGAAGCCAAATTAGGGACGAAGTTTCTGATGTAATTTACCATACCTAAAAATCTTTGTAATTCTACCTTAGATGTAGGAGTTTTAAAATTCTTTATTGCTTCTATTTTTGAAGGATCCGGTTGCATCCCTTGTTCACTGAATATAGCACCAATATACTTTACCTTATTAACACAGTATTGCATTTTACTATAGTTAAATCTAATATTATACTGTTTTGCTCTTTCCATTACCTGCTTTATAATTTTATCATTTTCCTCTTTAGTATCAGTAGCAATGCACAAATCATCGAAATAGATTGAAAGACCTTTAATATCTTTGAAATATTTGTGTACCAATCTTTGAAATATTTCAGGTACACAAGAGAGGCCAAAAGGTGCCCTCAAAAATCTGTAAGTTCCAAAGATTGTGCTGAATGAACACATTTTACTGGATTCTTCATCTAGTTTTATATGATAAAACCTGTCTTTCAAATCTAAAATTGTAAAGTATTTCTTATTACTTAAGTTTGGAGCCAAGTCCTCTAGTAAAGGAATTGAATACTTCTCTCTTATGATATATTTATTAAGTTGTGTAGGATCAATACAGATTCTTAAAGATCCATTTGGCTTTTCTAGTACTACAATATTATTGACCCATTCAACCGGCTCTTCAACTTGCTTAATAATTTCATTGTCAACCAGCGAATTTAAAGCCTTTTCAAATTGATCTTTAATTTTGTATGGTATTCTTCTAGCAGAACTTACTTGTGGTACTGCATCTTCCTTTAATTTTATCTTACAAATGTCAGGGAAACAACCCACACCATCAAAAACATCTTTATAATTGTTATAAATTTTTAATTTTTCTTCATCTTCTTTTACTGATAAACCATTAGCAACAGTATCTACCTTCTTTATTAAATTTAAACTTAGACAAGATTTCAGCCCTAGGATTGGAGTACATTCTCCACTGACCACTACTAACTTTACAACATCCATTTTATTTTCTGTCTCAATCTGTGCATCTATGTATCCTACTGGATTTATTTGAAACCCCCCGAATGAAATTAGTTTGTTTAGGTTTTTCTTCATCCTATTTTGTAGTTTATTTAGTTTTACAAAGGAATATGGGACAATGTCTACTTCAGACCCAGTATCAAGTTTCATTCTTACATTGAACCCTTCAACTTTAACACTTTTATACCAAGCTTTTTCTTGATTACCAATGGAATCAACTACACAAACTGTGTTAATCTCATAGCCTTGGCAATTAGGCACAAAAGAACTACTACTTTGATCAGTTACTTCGTTACATTTCTCATTAGAAAGAATATTTAAGTTTGTCCTACACATACTTGCAAAATGATTTGACTTTTTGCATTTACTACAGATTTTACCCCAAGCTGGACATTGTTGTTTTCCATGACTACCACCACATCTGTAACATTTAAAATGTCTTTTACCTGTTTGGTCCATACGTGTCCCAGCAAAGGTTTTAGTTACTTGATGAACTTCTTTCTTCTCATCATGAATATTTGTAATTTGAAGTACTTCTTTCTTCTCATTGATTTCATTCATATTTTGTTCGGTTAACTCCATCATTTTGCAGGTTTCTATTACCTTTTCCAATTTTAGATCTTTTCTCAAAAGTTTTTCTTGGACATTTTTTGAACTTAATCCCAGTATTATCTGAGCTCTCAACAGTTTTTCCTCTTGTTCTTCAAATTTACATGGTTTGACTAAATTTTTTAGGTCCGAATAGAATTTATTAAATGGTTCATCTTGTTGCTGCTTTCTTTTGAAAAACTTATAAATATCCATGATTTCATTCCTTCTTGGCGTGCAATACTTCTCTAGTGTCTCTAATATCGTTTTTACTGTTTCTGGTTCATCTTGTTTGAAATCTTTATAAATTTGCAATGCTTCTTTTCCTAGTAGGTTTTTAAGCCTTGCTGCTTGTATAGAGTTAGGTTTCTTTTCGGTTTCAGTGGCTACAAAATATATCTCCACTTCTTCTTTAAATGTCCTAAAATTTTCCTCCAAGTTGCCTTCAAGGCTTAGGATATCCGGTTTGTTAAATTCCATTTCTGTGTATATTCTTCTGATATTATTCTTAATCAAATCTTTACCGACTGCGCCATGTTTAATTTTATAAAAAGTAAAAAGTATTTTTTTAACATTCAAGTTGTTTCTCTTTATTCCATGACTGTTTACAATACAAAATCATTGCTTAATTATTATTGACAACATATGTTAAACAAATTATTTTAAACAAAGACTTTTAAGTAAGTAATATACAAACAGAAACTACCACTGATCAAATAGGTACAGTGTTTTACAGATTTTCATTTCATCTATGTAATCTAGATTAGGTTATTACTAATAATATTTATCTTACGTGATTGGATATAAAAAAAAAAACTACACGAATCAGCAGTTTTAATTAACTAGGTATAGGTACTCAAATCAATATTTTTGATCTAAATAGGCTATTATGAACATGCGGTCTTATTATTTACTTTAACCAGTGCAAGTAAACTTCTTATCCTATTGTGAAATTCAAACCCTATTAAATGCTTGTTTCATTTTGAAACTTTTGAGTGTGCCTATGTCGATTAATAACCACATGTGTTTGATAGCAAACACAATATTGATCTTGGTATAATATTGTAAATGAGAGCTAAACAAAAAATTTTAATAGGTAAGCTATCGTAAATAGCCTACTAAAATACCCCCGCCACAGCAAACCTACAGACTAAGTGAATTTCCATTAGCCTGATTGGATTTACACTAAAATGCCTCCTTAAAAATATTACATTTATTCCCTATTTAGCCTAAATAGAATAAGTTTAACGAGTACTTAGGTTTGCCGGAACAGGGAGAGTAAAAAAGTTTTTTTTCTGTAAATGTTAATAATTTAGTAAGAAATGAATGTATTTTCCAAATTAGATCAAAATATGTTCAAAGACAATTAAACTAGCCCTACAACAGTTGACTTATTCTCCATAAGAATAACATGGGAATTTTAAATTTTTACAATTTTTTGGAATTTTCTCCGTAGTCATTAGCATTAGGCGCACAATAACGCTTCATTATACTAAATTATCTATTTTTTTTTAAGCTCTACAAAATGGTTTGGAAAGAAATTGTGAAATTTTGTGTTTTTAGGGTCAAAAATGGGAAAAACCTATTTTTACCCCATAAAACCCCCCATAAACCCCCGTTCCCATAGTCCGATCATGCTGGTTTGCGAACTCATTCGAATAAATGTAGGTTTACACGTTTATACCAAATTTCATCAAAATCAGATCATTTTTGCTCGAGTTATCGTGCTAACAGACACACATATATTTATATATATATGAATTTTCGAACGGATGGTGTTTTTGGCCTCTAGGGACCTCAAAATGAAAAAGTAAATCGGTCTCGTCCCAGGTTCAGGCCTTATCACGAGTACTACGGTATATTGTCTGTGGTACCGGTAATAGCTTATTCCCTAAATGGGAAATTCACTAAAACCTTTGCAAAACTTGCGACAGCTAGCCTGGCCATACTACTGGACCGAATTACTCGCTGTTGGTACCAAATGAAAGACATATTATCCTGTATATGTGTGCAGAGTCCCTTTAAAAATTAAAATAGGCTCGAAAATAAGAACGAAAAATGAATTTGGAATAAAAAAAAAATAACATGGGCCTTATGGGTCGCTATGCTGGTAACAAAATAACAATAACCGACTTACTTTTTTGTTTTGAGGTCCCTAGAGACCAAAAACACCATCCGTTCAAATTCATGTATATATATATATATATATATATATAGGCCTACGCATATTTTAAATTGTGTTTTTAGATTCTAACTAGCCTACCATTATTTGTGAGATATTAAATAAGTTTTTTACAGCATTTAATTCATTTAAAATAATTTATTAACACACTAATAATAATAATTGTAAATGTACCAATTAGCCGTTTCATGAAAATTGTATGCGGAGTTCCACAAAAAAGTTCATAACTCCTGAACAGTTGGTGCTAATTTAACAAATAAAAAACCATTTTAATCAGCAGATTCTAAGCTATGCTCCACTTGCCCCAGATTCCACCTAATGTGAGTTAATAAAAGTATAAGGGGGGTGCGTACACTTACCCCGATTTCAGGGGCAAGTGTACGCACAGGACATCAGTTTATAAAAAAATTTATATAAAAAAAAGTTTAATAATTTACAATTAAAAAAAATACCACATACACAAAACATTCCAAGCTTTCTGCTCACCAAGTTTCATTAAGATATCTGAAATACAATTGAAGTTATTGTAAGTTAAAGTGCAACTAGTCGTTTTGGCGCGTACACTTACCCCACTTCTACTTGATCATTCCAAAAATCTGTCTACTGCTGTTTATGTTACTTTTATGTTTGTAAAGTTTGTGTTGAACATGTAGATTTCTTAAAGATACATTTATTTGTACAAAACATTTTCCTAAATGTATTAAACTTTTTCCAGAACTGTCAGTGGGCTGGTTTAATTATGCAGAAGAAAGAAAGAGATCTTGTTTTAACAATATTTAAAAATCTATTTAACTCTCTCAAACCTCGTAAATTTACTGGGGAATTAAAAGGAACTGATCACTTTGGCAATAAGTATTTTGAAATACCTGCAGATGATAACAGAAACAAGAGGGCAAGGTACTTTGAGCCAATTGGAAAAGAAGATGGATTTGACAGGGAGGTACCTGCAGAATGGGAAGCTTGGCTAAGAGGAAGGAGAAAGGACCCTCCTGCTGAGGAAGAAGTAATAAGAAACTATAACCTTGCCCTAGAAAAGAAGAAGAAAGCCCTTGAAATTGAAGAAATGTTTAAGGGAACAAAAGAAAAGCTACCTGCATTAGGAGCAGCAAAGGGAAAAGATTCTTTTCCAGAGTATCCAGAGTACGAACTCGCCCCAGGAACAAAAAATCCTAAGTGGAAGTCAGAGAATTAAAGTAAGCCTTAAAGCATATATACTGCATGTGATGAAACTTAGTTTTAATGGCTCTATTTATTTACTAGATAACTTGTTATTATGTGTGTAAATATTAAATTACTCAGATGAAATTATCCCTTTTTTTGCTTATTAAAAATCCTAGTTCTCAAGATATTTAAGTTTGTCTGCTAACACAAAACAAAACAGTACAGTAAAACACCGTTAACCGAAATTGGGTTTACTGAAACCCGGGTTAACCGAAACAGGTCCATAAATTAATTCAGGGCTAAAGTATAAGTACAATACATAACATGTGAACAGTGAGGCGTAGCGCCGAGCCCCTTGCTCTAGGAACGGGCCTTTTCTAACCCATTGTAACATTTTTGTAGGTACCGTAGCTGATTAAAAACACAGTATTATATAGACATTGTTTTAAATTCATTTTTCCTACACACCGAATAGGTAATACATAGGCCATTTTTAGCATATGATGAGTTAACCCAACGGTGATGATTGGTTAGACGAAACGGCTCCCCCCCCCCTTTATTTCGGTTAACTGGGGTTCTACTGTAATATAGTAACTGTCATCTAATCCATTCTACACTCATCATTGCCTTAGAATACGCACGCTGATCAATCTGTGGGATTTTAAACACAAAAAAGTTAAGTTTTTAGGATTTTTTCGTAGATAGCAGGCTTATCTGATGGGAAAGAGACCAAACTTGCACAAGATACACCAAATTTTACACTATATATACACCAAACATTAGATTAGAATATTTTACTGTCACTGACAGCATTTTCAACTAAGGAAGAGAGAGTTTCTTTAGGTCAAATATGTTGGCCAGTGAGTTATTGAGACAGTGTTGCCAATAGTTTAAATTTAAAATCACATTTTCAGTTGATCATATTTCATACACTATATTTATATAGCTTAGGTAGATAAGCTAAGTATGTAAGCCTGCTTTATTCATTCTGTTCCTGTTACTAACACAAAGAAGTAAGGAACTGAGAATCATATATATTCAAACGTAAAAGGGTTTTTTTGTTTCACGATTCTGAATCAACCAGTTGACGGATTTTCATGATTTTTGTGTTGAAAGAAATATAATTTTGAGAACTAGGGAATGTCAAAGCCATAATTTTAAATAAGGGTCCCAGTTTTTTAGAAATCAAGTTTTCATTTTTAAAAAGTCTAGCAGCCGACGCTAACCTTCTAAGCTAGCTTTTAGTACGGTATAATTTGGGGTCTGACTTAGGGGAGGTACAAATGAGGCATTTAGTTCAAAATTCCTCCGTGAACAGCGCTGTAGTAGAGAGCACTTTGGCAATAAAGGTTTACTAATCGCAAAAATAGTTCTGTTCATAAAATAAAATTATAAATGCCTCAAATTCAATTTTACTATTTTTAATTATAAAATTAAACTATCATAACCTAACCGAACTAACCAAACTTGCTGATAAAGAAATAATATAACAAAAGTTTAGTAATCGGAAAAATAATTCTGTTTATTAAATAAAACTAGAAATTGCTCAATTAAAATTTTATAATGACTTAATAATAAAATTAAACTGTAATAACCAAACCAAACCAACCAAACTTGCTGATAATAAAAAAATCTTGGACAAAAAGTTACTGCTACCAGCGGGATGCGAACCCGGGACCTACAGTATACCAGCCCGGCACGCTAACCATTAGACCACCGAGGCCGATGGCTATCGAACGTTTTGTTACGGTAATGGCGTTCCCTCACATATAAGAAGCCCTCAGCTGTCATCGTAGCCTCTTCTATACCTCCCCTGAGTAAATACCTATAATTTGCTTAAAATAACAGCTGTAAACATTCAGCATTTGTGACACAAATTCATTATTTGGAAACAAATTAAAAGACATACTTAGGGTTGACTTATTAATTGCTGCGGCGGGGGTATTTTACAATGGAACATTTAACTATTATTAACACAAAAATAAAATGCACATTTTACTCCTATTTTTCACACTATTCAATTGTTATAATGTTGTTCTAATAAGTTCATAACACCTGGTCTTTAATGTGTAATGCTGACCATTGATACATTAAATTCTTCGGTACGAGGATGGCAGATTAATTAAATATGCATAGTAAAATCCTATAATAAATATGCATGTCCAAATTATTTTTTAAAGCAATCTCTGTAATCATCGATTTGTTTTAGTCCAATATAATTTGTTTTAACTTACAGCTGGTTGAATGTAATATATTCTATAGAACGATTAGGTTTTGTAGCGAATTTCCCATATAGGGAAAATAAGCTATTACCGTAGTACTAATGGTAACCCGGGACCGATTTAATTTTTTGTTTTGAGGTCCCTAGAGGCCAAAAACACAATCAGTTCAAATTCATATATATATATATATATATATATATATATATATATATTGATGAAATGAGGGAATAAAATACATAAAATACTTTATTAATAATTGATGTAAAAAGGAAAGATATTAAAACATTAACACTTCAAACTGTGAACATATTAGGACAACAAAATAATCATAACAAGCAGCTGATATTAAAAGACACATTAAAAAGATATTTGATTATATAGCATTAAGCAAAGCAATACTATATAAAATCTTCAACATTCCCCCTTAATCAAACATCTTTTTTTTATTTAATCTGAGTCTTCAAGTCCCAAGTCTGTCACAAAGTGATCTAATTTTTCACGTGACAAAGATTTGGTTATAATATCAGCCGTCATACTTTCAGTTGGCATATACTTGATTTCAATTAACTTCTTTTGTACAGCTTCTCTTATGAAGTGATGCCTAACATCAATGTGCTTCGTGCGATTATGACCTTGAGTGTTTTGAATAAACTTCTGAGCATTTGATTGTCATTATACAGTACAACAGTGTAGAGCTTGTCACTTATCTCACTTAAGAAGTTTTTCATAAAACACACCTCTTTAGTTACATCACTCATTGCTAAATATTCCGCTTCTGTAGTGGATAAAGCAACAGTACGTTGTTTCCTTGATTCCCAAGAAACTGCACATCCTCCAGCTTTCAAGACGAAACCAGTTGTCGATCTTCTATCAGTTGTGTTTCCAGCCCAATCTGCGTCAACATATGCTTCCAAATTGAAGTTATTGGTAGATTTGAATGTAAGTGCATATTTTCTAGTCCCAACTAGATATCTCAGTACACGCTTTGCTGCAATCCAATGACTTTTATCATGACATGTGTTGAACTGACTTAAATAGTTTGTAGCATACAAACCCCTGTAAAATAGTGTAGTGTGTAGTAAAATAGTTTGTAACATAACCCTGATTGTTATGTATCAGGCCTTGTACACACTGAAAGATATAGAAGTCCACCAATCAGCTGTTGATAAGGATAATTGGATTTATCTTCATTAGAAACCTTTTCAAGCTTCAAGTTAACTGCCATTGGTGTAGATGCAGATTTTGCTTCTATCATGTTAGACGCTGCAAAAGATTTGTCACATAGCTACTTTGTGAGAGTGATATGGTTCTCTCTTTACGATTTCGAGACACTTTCATACCTAGACAGTTGTTATCAGGTCCTAGAACTTTAGTTTCAAAAGTTTTTTGAAGAGCTGTTATTAGATTTCGTTTTTAAACTTTATCATTAGTGAAAATAAAAAAATCATCCACATACAAAGCTAGAATCGTTAAACCACTTGTCTGTTTCTTAATGTAAACACACTGTTCACATTTAGATTGTTTGTAGTTTAACTTTGTCAAAAATTCATGGACAGTTTTATTCCAAGATCTACTTGCCTGTTTCAGTCCATAAATACTCTTTTTTAAGATACAAACTTTATTTTCTCCCTTTTCAAAACCAGTAGGTTGTTCCATGTAGATAGTTTCTTCTAAAGAACCATTTAAAAATGCTGTAGTTATATCAATATGATCAATATCCATGTCAAGTTCATTTCCAATAGAAAACAATAATCTAATCGTTGAATACCGCACAACAGGTGAGAAAGTCTCTGTAAAATCAACACCATATTCTTGGCTAAAACCTTTGGCAACAAGACGTGCTTTGAACTTCTCAAGATCACCATCAGCATTTTTCTTAACTTTATAAACCCTTCACCAGGTTACGGGGTCTTCTGGGCCAGTAACCTGATGAAATGAGGGAATAAAATACATAAAATACTTTATTAATAATTGATGTAAAAAGGAAAGATATTAAAACATTAACACTTCAAACTGTGAACATATTAGGACAACAAAATAATCATAACCATATATATATATAGTCATAGTATATTATATAGTATAGTATATATACCAATATTGATATACGTCCATAAAAAACCCATTTCTATTATAGGCCCTAGGTCTTGTGTATGTTAACATGGTTACCAAATTTCATAATCTTCAAACAAAAAACTTCACAGATAAAAATATTTTTGTATAACAAACAAAATGGCGGATAACTGGGTAAAAATATGCATTTTCGGACATACCTTTACATAAACTTTTTTCTTCCTTTTAGTATGAGGATTCATTATCCAAAGTCCTGAAACGTTTTTTATGGACACCCTGTATATAGGCCTATACTACACAGTATATACATAGTATAGTACCGGTATGATAAATAATTTAGGTGATTAGGTTGAAGCAGCGACTACAAACCTTTGAGAATATTCCGATATTTGGATTGTTTATTATTTTAGACTCCCCCAGGTTCGTGACTATATGGATATGAGTGTCTATGTGTTATTACAGTCAAGGTCAATTAATTGTTAATATTAAAAAGAATTCCCGAGGGAGACCCCCAGTAGCCCTGAAAGTCTATCTATCTACGACACTACTTTACTAATATTGTATTGAATATTACTAATATTCAAATAATACCAATGTAGTAAATAGGCAAAAGTATTGATGGAAAATTTTTTATATTTGTATGATTTCCATTTAATGGAATCATACCGTTATGCTTGCTGCAGCCTTGAGCTTTATTGTATTCATTTTTGCTTTAAAGCCAACAGTAACGATGAGAAATAAAAATCATCAATAAATCACTAGCTTTTTTATCTCTATTGTTGTCGCCACCCAACAAACTGAATAGACAGTTCTGCACCAAAAGAATTAAAATTAGAATGTACCCTGAAAAGA